TAGTAATATTTTAAGTTTCATTTATGAAGCATACCAAGGCATGACGAGGTTCATTTGTGTTTAATAGATCGTAATTTACTGACCTATGAAAGAGGGTAGAAGGAAATTGTTGCCGGTTTTTTACTCCTCGTCATTGCATTTAATATTTACACTTTGAAGAAAACAAAACTCTCTTTGATTTCTACAGATCTCATTATGTTATGTAATAATAGTTCAATGGCAAGCTCAGTAAATTCCAGAATGAGAGCAGGATTTTTATAGTTAAGCCCACAGGCACTTGTTGTATACTTTAGATAAACACTTATTTCCACTGACAACTGGTAGAGGTGCGGTATGCTGTCGTATACTCTAACAGTGCATCTAAGAACGAAGAACAGGACAAAAACTTCAATTTATTGTAAAAATATAAGAAAATTGTAGCGATGTGTTATATGTATGGTGCTGTAGTGATTGCAAAAACTGCTGCCCAATCGTCGTCTTTCGTTTATATTGAAGAAATTAATCAGCGTTCATGTGTGGGAAGAATTGATAACAAATGTGAAGTAACTCTGTCGAGCCATTTAAGAAAGCCTAGAAGGACTAGTAATGGAATTAACAAAGAGGGAGAAGTTTAGGAAAAAGAAAAAATGATCCAAAAACATCCATAATTTTGATGTATGATGGGATTAAAAGGAAAGGATCTTAGTGAACATAAGAAGTAATCCGTACAATGCGGAATAGCGTATGAGGTACGTACGTGTGTTTTGAGAGGCAAGAAATGAAATCTTTTAACAAAAGGAAGGAAAGCAGACATTTTTCGTGCAGATGAAAGCCTTTTGCTCAAGAAATCTGCCGACAAATGCGCATTCTCGACCCTGGTGAAAACAATCAATTTAATCAGTATACAATAAAATTATTTAATTAATGACGGATGAGACACCGTAGAGATCGAGACCACAAACATGAAAAAATCCAATCCCAAGACGAAATTCTCTTCTTTTAAACTCATTACGCAATAAGATTGAATTGAATGCTCTCCTCTTGGCAACATTTTTTCATTCACCAAAATTAAGTTTTTCAAAAAAAAACCGGCCCACTTGATCCACTACACATCTTGATTTACATGCTCGGTGGTAAGCTGCCTTCGCTTAGCTATAGAGTTAAATATAATTTATTTTATCTATCACGCCTTCTTTCCTTGTGTACAGAGTCGAACGTTTTATATATATACCCAGATTTCCCGGTTATTGTCCGTACGTCCTGTTGCATATTTAAGTCCTTTTCTGAACATATTTATAGCTTCACGCTTATATCTTCTGCCTTATATACCTTATTTTCCTTTACCTCGATTCCCTGGACATTGTCCATACGTCTTGCTGCTTACTTAACACTTACACATTATGGGCGTACGTTTGTCTCTATAGTGTGGTTAAGATCCATTTACTTCTTACGTTATTAACGCGAAATTTTTAGTTCAATTGCTTAAAATTGTAATGCGAAGGAGTTTTATTATGGCGTTCGGTAGTGATTCCGTTGCTCGACAGATCTTTGTGTTCAATCATCTGTATCTTCGCTAGTCTTTAACTTACCATACCATACCAGAGTCCACGTCATCATGTAGTGTAGTGCCTTATTTTGGAAAATCAATGTACGAATAACGGTATTAAGTGAAGTAGCGTAGGGAATTTATTCCCGGCCGTGGTCGACTGTAACTGATCGACCTTTCCTTGGTTTCGTATTTTTTCCTATCATAATGTCTAAATAATCTGCTGAGCTGCTTATGGGGATTACAGAGATGTCCAACGTCGACATTTGACGTGTCATTACTACTTAATATAAAGTGAATCTCGGCCTCTTCTACACAATTCTCTACAATTATTGTTTGTATGTTCCCACAGGTATCGTTAAGGTGAAGCGATTTTGCCTTGAACGTGCTCCAGCATCTTCCCTTTTCCAATGTGCAGAAGATATATGACTCGTTTGAAGTTCCTCAGAAAAGGCATCTTGTGAAGTTTTCTATCGCATTTTGCTGATGTAAACCCATTCAACTGAATTACTCCTAACTGTAGATTCGTGTTAGAGGTCGTTTGAATTCTTCTTATGTCGTATGGATTCCTTTTTCGCACTTACTTGGATGTGTCCTCTTCGATTAGTCCTCTCAATTCGGGGGTGTTCCTTACGTCCTGGAATACCGTTGTGCATTTTAGGATCTGGAGTTTCTTGTACGTATTTCTATATAGACTGTAATAATGCCCGCTTAGGAACTATTGAAATAACTTTTGGTTTTGATTTATTACTTTGGCTCAGTCTACTTCTTTGCAATCCTCCTCGCATATCTATACATTCTTTGTCTGGGCTCTTCTTGGTCCAGATGCAATTTTCTTAACTTCTACTTGTTTCTTGCAGGAACTCAAGAGCTATTTACTCCCTAGGATCTCTAATTATTTTCTATACCACTGCTTTTGGTATCATTTTGGACAATGCGTCGTTTCCACTTTTAGTTCCTTTTTTACATTTATAATGATAATGAAACTCGGCCGGTCGTGGCCACCAGCTTTCGCGTTAGGTTTCTTTATTGAAGAAAGTCAAGTCAAGGATTTACGTATGTTTCAACGAGAAAGTTCCTTTCGAAGAGGTTGTACTGAGAATATTCAGTAGTCCACCTGATTAGTAGATCATGCTGTAATTGATTCCGAGCTGTTGTAAGAAGCGAATCGCGTAGGGCATTCGTCGATTGGTTTGAGAGAAAACGACAACTGAGACTTAATTGCTTGTAATTGCTCGTGCTGTGCATTGTTGCATCCCGGAATTGAGTTTACAAGTTTATTCATACATACATACTTATGGTCATAAGGAAATTGAAATTCTATTACTTGCAGGGCAGTGCTCCGATGGTAATCGGATCATCATTTTCTTAATTCATGTGCCATTCGATTCTACCAGAGAAACAAATTTGTTATATAACGTGAATGCGCAATCGACGTTGGACCTTGTTCCGGAAGTTACATTGAAATTTTCTTACCTAAACTGAATTATTGATAATAACTAATTCTTAATAACTGTAAATTATTTATTATTATTATTATTATTATTATTCATTTGAATAATTTTTTTATCATTATCATTACTTCTACTTATTAAACTATTATAATGAATTTAGAATAAGTTTGCTTTGTTTTGATCCTCCACACACATTTATTAAAAATCTGTGGGCTTGCATAATGACTGCATACGTTTTTGCCCATTTTCGTAGGGAAACTTGATGACGTGCCACGTCAAGCTTACGTCCTCTTAGGGATCACTTGCATCGCGATGGTAATTGATCGGTAACTTTCCTCGGAAGAAGCAATCACAGCTTTCCTTTCCTTTCATTTCGGTGTCATACCTCCTGTACAATAGTTTACTTAACATAGATCGTAAGTAGGTAGCCTGCTACCTATGTAAGCTTAAAAAGTTGGACAACTCCTTCTAATATTTCTAATTTAGCTGAATAAGAACATTTTTGCTAGACTTGAAACGAAATGAATAAATGAAAAATTAATAAACCCTTGCTTTCCTGAAGATTAAGTAAATGAATTTTTCAATTCGAAGACACTATGTCTTCTACATCTTTCGCGGATTTTCATTTTCTATATATTCTTCTTAGATCGGAGGACTAATAAGGAGAATATAATCCAAGGAGCGGGTGTGCGCATTATGTGCATCTGAAGACTTCTTTATGTGATAACGTCACCTATGCACTCTTCTATTTCTTGCCTGATCATCAATCAGCACACAGTGCAGCGTGGATCCATCACATAACCTCGCAATTATGGTTTGACCGTAAAAGACACAATAACGCGGCAAACCTGGTCTTACAACTTCTTGTATATACAAAATAAATCATCTTATGTCTACCAGATGTCAAGTATTGAACGTTTGCGTAGATGCAATCATATCTTCTCAATAAATCCTTAAAACATGATAAGAAACTCACCTAAGTAAATAAACAAATGTGATGAACTTTCGATGCTAGAGATGCTTCAGCGACGGCTTCTACTGCATTCGAAATGCTTCCTTACTTCAAATCTAAAGCTAGTGATGGACAACACTCTGATCTGTAATCATCAGTCCGTATCCTTCGAGGATAACTCGCGATGTTGTGTTCCTCGACTACTCGTACTTCATTAAATGAAAAGTTTGTCTGTTGCCCTTTCGTGGATAATTACAGTCACAACTACAGTATTCGCACTTACGAGCTCCGCGAGGAAATAAAACGGCATTTGAATGATTGATAAAAGTTTATTGTTCATCAATGTAAATAAACTAAACACTTCTTTAAATATTGATATTTTTAGTTTTCTTTGAATGGGTGGAACCTTAAGCAGATTCTCAATAGATCCTTAAGAAACTAATATTTATTCCTTATAATGTTTGACTTCCACTATTTAATTGAAATCAAATTCTCCGCTGAGAACTGCAGCTCGCCCGTCAAAGCATTCCATTTCTAATGAATCCACTATTGTCCACTCATTGTTACATATGTTAAAGCGTTCCACGCTCGTAATCCACTGTAAGCTATATTCTTTTCTACCGCCCAACACATAAATATATTTTCCGGCTATCACGGCCGAGAAACCATTCCTATTGGACAACATGTGGGACATAGGTTCCCACTTATTCACTCGTATGTCTAGCCGTTTGCACTCGCTGTCTCCAATGGCAAACAATACGCGATCATATGACATGAATTCATATCGAACAGGTGTTGCTGGCATCTCATTTAATTTATACCACATTCTATCTCTCGGGTCAAATCGATGAAGTACTTCACTGCCATTAGTTGCTGGGGTCAGAATGTAAATAGTATTTTCTGCCACTGTTGCCCGATCATAATATGTGTCCACATGTGGTTCAGGGATATTCTGACACAAGCGCCATTTGTTGGTTGCAGGATCATAGCTTTCTACTTTGGAATTCTCATTTCCACCAACAACATATACTAGACCATCGTACGTGCAAATGCCAAAATCAATCCGAGAATTATTCATTGGTGCTATGTCCTTCCATTGCTTATCGACAGGATCATAACATTCAGCAGTACTCAATTCATTTATGCCATCACGTCCACCCACTGAATAAACTACGCCGTTTAAGGAAACAGCAGAATTAGAGAATCTACCCCCATTCATACTTGAGATAGAAAATAGTTTCTTTTTGGAAATATCGTAGACTTTGCATTCTTTTTGCCCTCTATCATAATCCGTTGTGCCGCCGACAAGAAACACATGAAAGCTTTCA